TGAACTCAAAATGCTTGTATGTTTCTCCTCCCTATATTTGGTTTATTGTGGTATGACGGAGTTCAGTAAAGGTTTTTTTTTCAGGTAGATAGTGTGCGCCCAGATGGTGAAGTAGATGGCAACAGCCCGCAAAGATGGATGAATGATGTACAGAAGGTGCGTTTGTATGTTTCTACCTTACACTGGATAATTTCATTTTATCTAGATGTAGTGAGAAATTTTACATTCTTTAAAACTAAAATGCAGTTGAGCTTTGTTATGCGTCACTTTCGTTTGACAATCGACAATCTTGTCATAAAAATGTGTCTTACAACTGAAGAAATAACTGCATTTGTGCAACAGTTCTGTCAGCTTAGTTGCCTAGTCGTTGCCATCTTTTCCAGATAGTTCCGTGTTTATCATAGACGCTTTTAGGTTGAGTACAATCGCTTGATAATCGAAGTGACAACGGTCAAAATTGAAGTGGCCGAGTTGTCGAAGAAAATCCAGCGAGGCCTAGCCGATGCTGGCATGTCGAGCGGAAGTGCTACAGTTGAGGGGCTTGGCTCCGACTCATACCACTACTCCTTTCTCGAGTAGGCGAATCGCCGATGAAATTCAGCAAAACGCGCCAATTTATCCACCATCGTTATGACCATCTCCACCAGCAGCAGCACCGTATTCTCATAACGAATCCGGTATCTCGTGTATCACCAACTCCACGGTTCATCACAAGTCTTGTTACGCTCAGAGATCCTCCGCAAACTATCTTCCTACACACGGGCCGCGTTACGCCTTTCCTAAATCTCAACCCATATGCTAATACGCGTCCAGAATAAGATTCCACAACAATGTGCTCTCTTGTGTCTCATCATTATTTTCGTTGCGATGTTGTTGTTTATTACTTATATGGCTTATGAGGTTCCTGTTAGACTGTCATGTTACTCGAAATGTGATTGTAGATTCTTTGAACGTCGTTTACTCACCATACATTGTCAGATTATTGTCGTCGGTTTTAGCGCACAAAATCGCGCCATGCGTTTTCTGTTCGATCAGCAATCTGCGCTGTTGTCATGATCGAAAACAGTCCACGTAGTTTAGTTTTGATCCTTTCATCGCCAATAGGCCGCTGAAGCCGGCTCCCCAATTTGTCGTCAAACCATCTTCGCATCCCCGTCCCTCGCTCCGTCTCTCTTTTATGGGTCGTTTATTCTAATCTATAAACATGGCCGAGAATTACACCTCTGTCTCACTTTGATATATTTCATTTTTTTTGTCATTTGTTATAATTTTTCTATATTATATCTGCATATTGTCCGTGATGATACGTATATGTAGTTCAAGCAGCGTTCACGTCCGTTATTTCGTGAATACCCTCGAGCTAAGCCTTAAGTGAAGATATTTGTTCTCTCCTATTGCCAAAAGTGGATTCTCAGTGTACGGCGTGCTTGTGCTCTGGAATGTGTGTTCTTTCTGTCCCGGCCTGAAAAAGTAGCGTCGGGTATAGTGCGCACGGTCTCTGCTTTCATCCAATTCAAATGCAATCGCTGCATCATTCGCATTCTCATCTCTGCCTGAGCGCTCCTCAGCCCTCGCTCTCACTCTAGTTAAGGGTAGCAAGTGTCTCTAGTAGCCTAGCGTGTATTCTGTTCTCAGTCTTTTTGTTGTGCGTTCAAAACGAGGGTAGCTGTGTAGTTACACACAGATGGTGCGCGCAACGCACACGAAACCTGTCCACTAACCACCGTTCTGTACGTGTATTTCGTCGTTGCTCCCGTGGTATGTTGTAGGTCGTCTTTGCCATGTTCAGGGTGTTGGTTTCTCCCTCTATCTCTCTTCGTTAGTAGACAGGTGGGTAGGCGGTTCTCAGCCATCGCGCAGGTGTCACGAGGAGCGGGACTGCCGCGGGTCCATGGCCGCTCCTCAATCCCCAGACTCATTGTCTCTCCCCCTCCCCTTCTCTATTTGATCACACGTGTCTATTATCCCTAATTTGCTTGTTGAATACGGCTTCGAGTAAAAGGGGCTTGGCTAAACGCATCAACTTCGCACAAATGTCATATGTTGCCGAATGTCTTTGGTCATGTTGTTATGTCTCTCCCAACGAAGCATTAGCCCACCCCTATTCTTATGATTTCGCTTCTTGATCATACGAAATGTGGTAGTTTCTTTCAGGTCATTTTACTGTCTGCTTTTTTTTACTGAACCTGGTTATTCTGTAAAAATTTTCTGCAATAGTGTACATCTCGATTGGCACATTGTTTACGCATTTTATATTTTGTGGTCAATAAAAGGATTTGGATAGCTAATGAAGGGGGCAGCAGAGTTGGGAACAAGATATATACACACGAGAGCTATTCACAATCCAAAGCAGACAATCTAAGTGCTGGATGCCTGGTGAGATGAGCGTTCCGTTGCTTAGGATTGCTGCTTTGGATGTGTTATTAGCGAACATTGCTGGTTCAAGACCTTTGAATGAAAATAATTGAAGATAGTCTCACTATTGGTTATAACCAAATTGATTTCAAAAGTTGTTTTGAAATGGAAGTTTAGGAAAATGGAAAACTTTATCACTACATCACAGATGTTACGACTTTCGCTGAGCGAATAAGCGGAAAGAAAACAAGAATATAAGTTCCGGGAACCGGAAGGATAGATTTTGAAAAAAAGGAGTAGAAGGACGGATCACTTGATCTTGGGAGACTTGGGGGCTGTAATGCAATAAGAGTTTCATCCAAACAGAAGGAAGATAGAACGCAAGTTATCCGCAGGTTAGTCAGGGGAATCACGACTTTTATCAAGAATCTGTAATAGAGTTGTCTTCGAAGATCATATTGAGTAAAGATGCATCAGTATGTATCCGGTAATTTGCTTCCCATGTAGAAGTGATCTTTGAGTGCCAGTTACAAGCTTGGAGCTTGCTGTACCTCGAAGTTCAAGGATACATGAGAAAATCTGCCTTATCACATAGATTCTTTTCGCAAGTGCGTTTGAGTGGAAAAAAAATTTGATTAGGATGGAATGTAGCTTTAGGTTGCTATTATGTAATTCGCTAGCACCTGTCAAAAATGCACAAAAACCAACAAAATTCTAATGGGAGTTATACCAACTTTCTACCCCATCCAAATTGTAGTTTTACCCACTATAAGTGGACAGCTGCTGAGTACTGCAGTACTGTTGGAAAGTCTATATCGGCTTCGAGCTTGATATACTTCTCCTGAATGGTTAAAAGTTCGTTTGTGGATGGGAACTGGAAGAGTCTTGTAACAGGAACGCCACGGCTGACGAGCAAATCAACTGCATCTTCCAAGAACGGGGTTGAAATATCCACAAGAAGGTCGATTGTCTAAAAAGTCAGCTAAATAATTACAAACAATCCATTTTTAGAGTGAAATATTGTGTTAAGGAAATAATGAAAAAGAGCCAGTATCTCAGGTCTATAACCCACCTTCTGCGACATAGTTCCAATCTTGCTATCCATAAGTTTAGCTTGAGCATTAAGCATGCTGGAAGTGCATCTAACCTAAATTATGTAACCTATATGCACATGTGTTGTGGCGCTGGAA